ATATATATATATATATATATATACATATAATATATATATATATATATAACATATATATATACATATATATATATATATATATACATATATATATATATATACATATATATATATATATGTACACATGTACATCTATCTATCTATTTATCAATCCATCTTATCCCAGAGGCATTGAAGAGTCATTGGGATTCTCAAGCAGTGGAGTCACATCATCTCTATGCTTAGAAATATCCATTTGATAATTGTATGGAGGATGGATTGGTGAAGGTGCTGGAGGGGGAGTGACCAAGTAGGAAGGTCTTGCAGCAGGCCAGGGGAGAGATGATGAGAGCCTGGACTAGGCCTGTGGCATGAAAACCACCAGTGCAAGAGAAAAAGAGGTGGCATCAGTAAGACCTGGAGCCTGGTTGCATATGGCGGGTGGAGAATGAAGCGTCTGGGATGACTCCCAGGTTGCAAACCTTGGTGACTGAAAAAATGGTGGTGCCCTCAACAGAACATGTGATCTCAGGCTGCATGCAGAGCCCTGGTGTCTGGGAATATGGAATGAATTGTCCCAAGTCCCCTTCCTGGTCACGCAGCACCAGGGATATCATGTTCAGCTGTAGGCTCTGCCTTCCAGGAAGGACAGTGATAAGCTGGAGGGCATCTGGAGGAGGTGGCCAAGATACTGGCAGGCCTTGAGGTCATGCCATAGGAAGACAGGCTGAGGGGATGTTTGACCTGCAGGAGAGAAGCATCTGGAGCCAATGTGGTGGCTGTCACCAAGTGTTCCACAGGTAGTCATGGAGAAGGGAAATTGAATGTTCTCTGCTTGGCTGTGAAGACACAATGGGAAACAATGGATAAAAATTGTAAATGGACACAGTTTGGCTTGACATAAGGAGAAATGCCCTAATGATTAGAGATGAATGGGCCATGTCCCTTTGATGGAGTCCTCCAGGTGAAAACTTGATAACCAGAGCCCAATATGTTGAGATGGAATTCTCATCCAGGAATGTATTAGAGTGGATCTCTGAGATACCTTCCAGCTCTAAAATTCTGTGAAGTTGTCTGGAGGGAGATTGAGGCTCAGTGTTGGGAAACATTTCCTGACAACTTTCAAAATTGGACTGGGCTCCCCTGTGAAGTTTGCCCCCTGCCCCCTTCCTGCGGGACTCCCACCAGAGACTGGATGATTCCCTTGAGGGACTCACAAGATCATAGACTTACAGTTGGAAGCCCTGTGATCCAAATCCTTAATTTTACGAACGAGGACACTAAGGGCCAGAAAGTAAGTAACTCTTCCAAGGTCTCCCAACATGCATAGCTAGGCAGAATTTGAACTCAAGTCTTCCTGGCTCCAATTCTAGCACTTTATCCATTCATTACAACAGGATGCCTCTCTTATAGGGATAATTCCTCTTCAGAAAATCACCTGGCAATAGGTGACCCATAAAGTCCCTTCTTGCTATGAGATTTGGGGATTACCGGATTCATCAGTATGTCCTAGTTCACTCTCAAAGGAAGAGCCCTACTTTGAGCACCATCTGGTAGGGTCTTTGATCCTGCCCCTTTCATCTTGGTACTAAGCTCTGATTGTCCAAATCCTGCATTTTAGAGGATTGCATCTGTACCCAGAGAGGAGGGAAATGCAAGTTAGATCAGGTTTTGCATAATCTGAGGATTTGGGTGCTTTGCCACCATGTTTCCCAGAGCTAGAGGCTCCCAAGCTCAGCTTCATTGGTTTATCAAGAAGCTCAGCCCCTTCTCTTAGATGAAAGCCACAGAGCTGTTATTCTGTTGGGGTTCCCCTTCTATACCTCTTTGGATGAAAGAATAGAGAAGATTCCTTTCCCCATTTTCAGAGACGCAATCTTTTCTCTTCCTCAAATGTGTGACCCACTTAAATCCCAAAATGTCCCTGGCCCTGAATCCAAAGAAGCATTTCAGGCGGGCTCAGGAAATCATCAGCAGGAAATGTGTCTGAGAGGAGAATTGTTCTGCCTTGGGGTCACACCGAGTTCCATTTTGTTTAGAACGCCCTGAGATTTTTCTTGGTTTCCCTTCTAATTCAAACTATTTTTTCTAAGCTCCACACAGTTTACTTGGATGTTTCAAGATCCCAGAACTCATGAGTTGGCATTTGAGCCCAGCATACCTGACCTTTTATTCTGTGGGAGAAACCTCGGGCCCAGTGATGAGTGTCAATCCCCAGGGCCCAAGGAAAGAGTCCTCCTAGGGAACAACAGTGAGCCGTGATGAGAGAGCAAAATTCCAGCTGCTGAGCGTCAAGCCCCAGGAACAAAGTAATGAGGAAGGACACAGTGGTGCCGATAAATTGCTGGCACTGGGCCTGGTGCAGCACCAGAGGGAGAATCAAGAAACGTTCATTTGAATGCTGCTTTTCATTTCTAGCTAAACACAGAATTCAAATATTACGTCCTCTCAGCCTCAGTGACCACAGATGTAAAATCAGAGTGTTGGTCCAGGTAGGACCATAGACCTAGAGCTGGAAGGACCTCACAGGCCAACTCAGCCATTTTACAGTTGAGAAAACTGAGGCCATGTAGGCAGTAAGTGCCAGAGGCAGGATTTGAACTCAAATCCTCTCACTTCATAGACTCTACCATTCTGCCTTCTAAAATCTTCTCTAGGCATAATATCTTTTTATCCTTCCTTGGCTTTATGGACTCAACTGTTCCACATCTTTTCTACTAGTAAGCCTTGGTCCAAGCCACTGGGCAGGTGGAGAATAAGGCCTTTTAAGGGCTCCAGACACAAAGACTTTGGGGTCCCTTTGCAGGGAGTTAGCAGTGTTAAAAACAACAATAAAGCACTATGGTAATCATATTGAAAAGTGTATTTTTAAAAATATTTTCAAATGGAAAACATTAATTATTCTTCAGTTTTACTTATAAGCTGGTTTTAACATTTTAATGAATATTTAAAATTCAAAATTTATGTTATTAATACTGCTCTGGTTTTGTTTTTAGAACATAACCACTTTAAGAGTTACAAAAGAAAAACTGGATTTATAATGTACAAACAGTAACAATTGTGAATTGAATGAAACTAACAAATATACAAAGAAGGAATTTCAGAAAAGGTCACAATCATGAAATGAAATAAAGTTTGACAAAATAATGGGTTTTTTCTAATAACATGAAATAATAATCTTACATATCCACTGTGACAATACAATGGAAAGAGAACAGGAAAATGTGATGTCTTGGACAAATTACTTCATTAGGCTCTAATCACATATAAAGTCATAAAATGTTTGACTCATTTATCCAATTATTTATCCCCAAAGGGCAGTTGATTCACATATATTTCTGTGCTCTCCTTAGCATCACTCTCCCTCCACTAGTGGAGATCCCCACCTGTCTCAGCCTCTGGGATTCCTGTACATGGCCTCTGACAAGTCATTCATAGAGAATACAGCCCCAGTACGTGAGGACTTCCTCAGAATCTTCACATATTTCCCAGTGCCACATTGGGGCTACCCATCTGTCATCCCTCCTTGTTAATGTTTGACCCATCCCAGATGTCAGTCATCTGTGTCATGTGTAGAGTCCTGTACGTCATTCCCTGCATCTAGGTCATCTTTGGTTAAGCACTCGCCTTGCCTCTCCTATGTCCTGTGGATCTACTACTGAGGGGATGCTTCAAAGCTGGTGGCATTCCCTGGTTTACTGCTGCACAGCAGTGCTGGGAGAATATGGAAGCTAAAACAATAGACTCCAGCAGGAAAGAAAGGCTTGGAATCACTAGAAACACTGCACGTTTTTCCAATGCAATTGGAGGTGTTCTCTTCTTCCTGTTCTATTCTGCACTGCCCACCTAACTGCATATCCTAATCTCTCAGCAAAATCCACAGGAACTAAGCTTGAATTGGGTCAGAGTTCTTAGTCATTCCTAAAGAGGTACTGACTAGGTCAGCCAGAGTGTGAACATTACACCAGAAATGAGCAGAAAGTGCCCAAGGTCATCCCTTAGGAAAGGCTTCAAAGTGGCCCTACTGATTCTGGCTCAAGGATCTGCTTACCCTAGGAATCCTCCAACAAGGATAGGGCAGGATGGGTGAGCGCATTTGCTCAGTCTTGGGCTTAGACTGGCCAAACCAACTGGACCCTGGGGATGCCTGGCACGTGCCATTCTTAGACACGGCCCCCAAATGGTTGCCTCCAAACACTAACCCCTCCGCAGCAGCAACAGCCGCAGCTATTTGATCTTCAAGAAATCTTTAGAAGAGATGCTGATCTAAACCCGTCCCAATGACATAATCCAAAGAAATGCTTTGTTAAAATGGGGCAAGTATAAGAATGACTAGTTCATGCTTTGTTCAGAAAGAAAGTTAAGTAATAATTTACATTAAATTAATAGTTGAAGTAATGCATTTCTATGTAAATTTTAAAGCTTAAAATGCTGTTATTCTTATTTATCATCTTTTCTAGCTTAAGGAATATCACTGATCTAGGGCTCGAATGAACTCAGAGGCTGTTTGTTTCAACCCTCCCATTTTACAGAGGAGGAAACTGAGGCAAAGGAGGCTCAGTGACTTGACCAAGGTCACATGGGCAGTATCAGAGGCAGATCTGAAGGATGCAGACTCTCTAACTCCAGGGCCTATGTTCTTCCCCTAGGCTTCCCTGCTAAAGAAAGGCGGGGTGACCTATTGGTAGACAGCTGGGCCTGGAGCCAGGAAGCTATGAGTTCAGGTCCTGCCTCTGACATATTTTGGCTACAGATGACCCAGAGCAGGCCTCAGGGCTCTCAGAAGCTCTAAAAGTAAGTCTGTTAATTTCAGAGGAGGTGCCAACCTGATTGGAGGCAGTTCTCCTATTTGGGAGTTTCTTTTACCAAGAAATCAGGGCAGCTAGGTGGCACAGTGAATAGAGCACCGGCTTTGGAGGGAGGAGGACCTGAGTTCAAATCTGGCCTCAGACACTTGACACTTATTAGCTATGTGACCCTGGGCAAGTCATTTAACCCCAATTGCCTCCAAAAACAAAACCAAAACCAACTACATCTTGTCCAAAAGGGAATTTAAGATGGGCATCTTCCAAAATATAGCTTCATGAATGTCATTCTACTGCTTTAGGGAAATTATTTCTGGTTATTTAGGATTCACTTAACTAACACGCAGGCAATAAATAAGAGTTTCAAGGCAATAATACATTTATTGTACAATGTGCATGTGCAGAGAGTCGTTGATCAGAAAAGCCAAGCGCTTTTCCTTGGGGCAAAAAGAACTGGCCACTGTCTCTGTTGTGGAAAATCCCTAAGAAATTAGCAGAGATCTTGGGGAATGAGGGAGTAAAAATCCCCCAGAGCTGATCCTGGGGAGTCCTCCGGTGGTTCAGAATACATCCACCCAAGGCAGGATCCATCCCTTCTTGCTCCTTCCTCCAGATTTCAGAAATGAAGGCTGGTTCAAATGTGCTCTTTAAGAAAGCTCAGGCCCCTTCCTGGCTTTGAAATGAGGGTGGAATTCCTGGTGTGTCGAGCCTTTGAAAAATAGCAGAGTCGGGGAGTGTAGGGGAGACGTGAGGAGCAGAGTTCTCCACGGCTTGCTTTGTTGATTGGAGAACATCTTTCCTGCGTTCCATGCAGGTACTCTCGAGCCACTGCCCACAAGTAGGTTTGGTCAGTTGTGAACAGAAATCCTGGGCCATGGAGACTGGAGCCTGGTCCCAGCAAGGCCAGGGATATTCCCAACAGTGTAAGCATGTGTTGGCATAGACAGGTGTGCTGTGGCCGCTTTCTGACCATTGGCTCTCCACAGGCCAGGACCCAAGGGGGTGTGCCCTTGCCGACGCCCCCGGGCTGCATCACAGCTGCCATAAGCACACTTCTCCTCTTTGCCACCTCTGCCCTCCTGCCACCAGAATGGGCAGGTGTGGAGGGTCACACGTGCAGAATAGGAGCAGGCGAGGCCTGAAAGACAGCGGAAGGGTTAGGAGAGAACTTTCTCCTTCCTTCTGGAACCTGCAAAACAAAGCATCCATGCATCACAACCGGCACACATAGGCACTTAGGAGAAGCTTGTTAACTGGCTGGCTGTCCAGGGGCAAGTGACCAGGGCCTTTTCCACCTGGTGCCAAACCCCACAAGGCTCAGCAGGCTGAGGCTGGGGGGGGTGGGAGCCCAGCACAGGTGGGGATGCCACCCAAGTATCCAAGTTTGTGCTGCTCACAATTCCATGGGTTTTTTCCTTTGGGTCCTCCCTACCCCAAATATAGGGCCTTGAGGCCCTCCATGCCAACTTTACATGCAGTTTGGCCAGGCCTCTCTGTGGATGCGGGCCCTGCCACACCCATTGGAGGGATCCCCCATGGCCGGGACGCACGCGCTGTGCCAAGCACGATCTCTGTCATCTCACTGTCTCAGGTGCCTCTCCTTTGGCATCTTCGCCAGGTCCTGCACTCACAGTATACACCCTGCCCTGGGGCTAAATAGAGATGGGGTGGGTGCTCTGATGGCCAGCAGGTCACACCTGCACCAGAAAGTGGCCCGCATCAGGGAAAGGGAGAAGTGGGCCTGGGGAGCTGGCACGCCCGAAAAGAGGGGCCCCCAGAGCTCAGCCCATAGGGCGGCTTACCTTGAAGTCAGCCCGATGGCTGCTCTCCCTCACAGTGTAGTCAGTGACGATGACAGAGGTTGGTTTGGTCTTTACAGGTCTTGAAGGCTTGGTGCCAGGCCAGGGCCGGTATTCCTGTCTGAGGCATGGAGCAGAATCACAATCTTAACATGGAGAAGCATTCATTCATTTACAGATCTCCCCTCCCCCTGGTGTGTCCAGCACTGAGCTACAGCCGGGAGAGGGGATCGGACAACACGCACGTATATGGCCAGTGCTGTTAGAAAGTTGATAGTGGAGGGGAATGGAGGTAGCCTGATGCTGCCTGGAATCAGGAAGACCTGAGTTCAAATCCTGCCTCCTGCGCTTACTAGCTGTGTGACTTTGGGTAAGTCACTTTACCTGCCTCAGTTTTCTCCCCTGTAAATTGGGGATAATAATAGCAGCTACCTCTCAGCGTTGTTGTGCAGATAAAAATGAAATATTTGCACATAGTAAATGTTACATAAATACTAGCTATTGCTATTATTATTATTATTATTATTATTATTATTATTATACATCCTCAGAGGACCCCTCCTCTCCAGATCTATGACCCTCTTATTCTATAGATCTACAGACCCCTATTAGCCATCCTATACAGACCATCCTATTAACAGCCATAAAAATACAGTGTTTTGAGGTTTGCAAAGCACTTTCATATATTCTTTAATTTGCTCCTCATAATAACCCTGGGAGTTAGGTGTTATTATTATCCCCATTTTACAGATGAGGAAATTGAGGTTCAGAGAGCTTCAATAACTTATTAAAGGTCAAAAAGGTCATAATTATTGAAGGCTGAATTTGAACTCAAACCTTCCCAGATCCAAGTCAGGCGTGCTCTTATGACATTCTGCAGTGGGAAACAGATGAGCTAATCAGGAAAGTCCAGCCAGAAGGTGAGTTTAGCTGCCTCACTGGTCTCCAGGCCTCCTTATTACCCATAAGAACCATGTACTTTTCCTCTTGGAAATTGGCTGTGCCCTTGACGCCAGAGACCATGATGTCCACAAACCATCTGGGGCCATGTAGTGAAGTGAACCTTATCATTGGGAGCTGGGGAGGACGTAGGCTCCGGCCCCTCTTGTTACATGATCCCTCCCTGCTCTGGGTTCTGTTCTGTCTCCCCTTCCATTTTCTTCATTGTGTGTGTATGTGTGTGTGTGTGTGTGTGTGTGTGTGTGTGTGTGTGTGTGTGTGTGTGTATGCTTGCACCACGTGGGGCTAGCACAGGCCATGCCAATTTGGGTGCTGTCCTGAGCAGTTTGGGGCAGAGGCCCGGACGTTTCAAGGCAGTTTGTACCTAAATCAGCAGAACGTTCTGACTTCCCAAGGTATTCCAAGTTCACTGTTCCTCCTTCTGCTGACAGATAAGCCAGAGCCAAGCTGACCTGAGCACCATTCAGCCCAACTGGGCCAGGCCAGGCCAACTCCTCAGATTTCCCTGAAGCTCCAGAACCAGCCATGGTGGCCCAGGCACCCCCTGCTCTTGGGTGAATGGTGATGGCGAAGTCACATGAATTAGCTGAAAAGCTTACAGCAGTGCAGCACACACATCGCATCGCACCCTCTGTGGAAGCCATCTTCAATGCCTCCTGGTGTCTTTGATTCATCCATCAAACATTTACTGAGAGCAATGGTGAAGAGGGCCCGTGGCCTAGCCACCCTAAGTGTAGCACCCCCAGATGTCCAAGAATTCACAGCCTCAAGGAAGACAAGTTACCACATGACTACATGAAAGTACCAGGAGATCTAAGTCAGTATCCCAGGAGTACTGAGGAGAGAGAGATGAGAGGTTATGGAAAGCTTGGTCATGCTCCTTCCCAAAGCCAGGCCCTCTACATTTGCCCTTGATCCCCTCCCCTAACACCTTTTCCAGAAGATTGCCCCCATGAGATGCCTACAAACACACAGTCTCTGTCCTGAAAAAGTACTCTCTAGACTGGACCTTTCCATCCCCTCCAGTTACCATCCCATATCTCTCCTCCCTTTCACAGCCAAACACCTGGGGTGGGGGGTGACGGGGTGAGGGTGTCTATGCTCGTTACCAGACCTTATCTCCACTTGTGCCCTCCTCAGTCCTTTGCAATCTGGCTTCTCTTCTGGACTCACCACTCACCTGAAACTGCTCTCACCAAAGTGACCAATGGTCTCTAGTTTGTCATAATCCTCACCCTTCTTGACTTCTCTGATGCTACTGAACATCCATTCTCTCCTCCTGGTAGGCTCTCTTCTCTCGATCTCCTCCTATCTAGATGACTTTCTTTTCCAATCCACTTTGCTGGGTCATCTTCTATGTGCCTCCTGATAATCATACTCCGTGATTGTGATAATGAGGTTTGAGATGTGCTTTGCATAAATTATCTTGAATTTTTTTGTTGTTATATGAGATAGCTCTCTGGGAGGGGGATACTGGGGGAAATTTTGGTAATGTAAAAAGCAAAAGACATCAGTAAAAATGTATTTTTTAATTTAAAGCTAATTAATGTCAAATGATTGGATGACATTCAGGCGTTGAAGACTGCCGATTGATATTGGGGAACACACTAGAATAGGGGTTTGAGCTGATGGCAAAAGAACCCCAGTTCCCCTCAGGGGTACTCCTAGAGCCCTGAGGAGATGGAGGCAGCCACATTCTGGGGACTCAATGAGCTAGTGAATGTTTGGGTCAGGAGAGTAAATGCAGAGGACTGCTATAGGAAAGCAATATTCAATGACTATAACAATATAAGTGAGAAAAACTATCACAAAAGATAATGAACCCTTTGTAGCAAGAGTGAATGAGCCTAGCCTCGAAGAAGAAACAGGAAAATGTGCCGTCCTTCCTTCTTCGCAGAGGTCGGGGATGACGTGGCTAAGCTTTGGACATATCTTGGGTAGTGTATCAATTAGTTTTGCCAAAGTTTTTTTTTTCCTTCTTAATTCTTTGTGGCAAAGGATGGCTGTCATAGGGGAGTGGGGAAGAACGCATATTTTGGAAATGACACCGAAGTTAAAAACAAAAGACCAAAAAGCATCTTAAAGGGGAAAGAAAAACCAATAAAAAGAAATTTAAAAAACCCTCGGAGTCTGAGTAGCCCACAAGCTCCTTGTGGATCAGCAGGATGGCACACGAGCAATCGTAACTAATCTGTCCTGCTGAGCCCACTCTTCGAGTGCGTGAAAGGTGGGGCTTGATGGCCCCTGGGGTCCTTTGAGTCATGGGTCTGAAACATGCCACTAATGCCTGATTCTCATCTATTCCAGTCAATCAATGAGCATTCTAAAGGCCTACTATGTGTTAAGTACTGTGCTGTACTGTGGGTTGTCCATGAGACTGCAAGCCCTTTGAAGGCAGGGTCTCACCTCCAGCATGCTGGAGGGCCATGCACAAGTGGTGTACAGGCGGGACAGCCGTGCAGGGGTTGCTATCTGCATCTTTGGAAGGACCTCCAAATTGAAATCACAGGACATCCCTGATTTAAAGGCGAGGGCTGTCTTCTATTTCAATTTTGTATTCTCAAGCAGCCAGCACAGGGCTTTGTACAAATGGGGTCTTAATAAATACTACCATTGCTAATTAGGAGCAGCTAGGTGTCACCTAGCTCCAGGTCTGGAGTCAGGAAGACTCAACTTCCTGGGTTCAAATCTGGGCTCAGACACTTAGTAGCTGTGTGACCCTGGGCAAGTCATTCAACCCTGTTTGCCTCAGTTTCCTTATCTGTAAAATGAGCTGGAGGAGGAAACAGCAAACTACTCCAGTATCTTTGCCAAGAAAACCCCAAATAGGATCGCAAAGCGTCGGATATGACTGAAAAATTACTAATTAACAACCACAACCACAATGACGTTTGCTGCATTACATTGTACCTACCAGGGAACGCAGGTGGCTGAGCCATTTGCTAAATAAAGGTAGTCATGGAGACAAACATCCTTTCTACCTCCCAGAAAATGTGGGGGTTATAGTCTAGTCTCTCTCCATGGTCCTGACCATCAGTCCAGTACACAGTTCTCCCCTCTGCCCAGGATGGTGGACCTCCACTCCCCACAGCCCACTAATCCTAAATGTGCCCCCTTGTGAATATCCTCACAATTCTATCCCACTTCTCTCACCCCCAGGACGTAATTTGCACACACACACAGTAGGTGCTGTGAGTCTCAGGCATGAGTGGAGCAGAAGAGACCCTCACACTCAAGAGAATGGAGAATCAGTCCCTGAAACAAGAAGCCTGAGGATGAGAGAGGGAGTCACATAGATGGGATGGAATGAAGGAGGAGCACAAACAGGCAAGGGTGTAACGCAGCTAGAACATGCCCCATTGAATTGGGAGTCGAAGAAACTGAGTTCAAATCCTACCCTCAACACTCACTGGCTGCATGGACACCCTGAAGGCAGAAGCCATTTCCTTTTTCTTTTCCTCCAGTGCCTGACATACACAGATCCTTGATGAATGCTTGTTGAATAAATATGTAATGCTGCGTAGTCCCTGGCACACAGTAAGCACTTAATAGATGATTTATCTTTGTCAAATCTGGGCAACTCACCTCTATTTCCTTCCTCACTATATAGATAATAAAGTGGAAGTGGGGGAGGAGGGAAAGAGACAAAGAGAAGGGAGAGAATGAGACAGAGAAAGAGAATGAGAGAGGAGTAGGGGGAGAGGAGAAAGGGGGAGATAGATTGAAAGAAAAAAGGAGGAGGAAAGACGGAGGGAGAGAGAATGAGAGAGGAAGGATGGGGAGAGGAGAAGGAAAAGGAGGAGGAGGAAGGAAGGAAGGAAGAAAGGAGGAGAGAGAAAGTACTTCACTCGACCAAGGCCTTATGGCTAGTTGGCATCAGAGGACCTGGGTTCTAGGCCTGGCTTTTTATGCTAAGCCTGCCCTGTGTCTGCCCCGTACTTCCTGCCTGCCTCTCAAGAAATTGGTGAGCTCCTCAAATCTGCAGATAACCATGAGGCTGCCAAAGAGATGCTGGAAGACAATTCTGACACATCTTTGGAAATCTTTTTGAATCCAAATTCTAAGATGAAATTTAATCCATAAAGAAAAAAGATCTAGCAGGAGGAAAACTTTTATTTCAAAGTAAAAATGTTTGTGTCACCTAAGCATCTGGCTCTTCTAGTGTTAAGGCATTGAGGAGGCATGGGAGGAGCTCTCGGACAGTAAACTCCCTCTGCCAAGCCATGGGAAGCTTCTCGCCAGCTCCGAGGGTCAGTTGCCAGTGACTTTCCCAGGGTAATAAAGACAATATGTGTTTCAGCCAGGTCTTTCCGGCAAGCAAGGCCAGTGCTCTATCCACTATTACACGGATAACAGTTAAATATGCAGGAATTCAAAGCCCTGCACTTACGGGGTGGGGGGGAGAGGGTGGAGAAAGAGAGAGAGAGAGAGAGAGAGAGAGAGAGAGAGAGAGAGAGGAGAGAGAGAGAGAGAGAGAGAGAGAGAGAGAGAGAGAGAGAGAGAGAGAGAGAGAATGAATGGGGGGGAGCCCTAACTAAAAAAATTAGCCTGGAAAAAAGCTCTGGGCTGGTGCTTTTTAGGAGAGGGGAGCATCGAGGGGGATGGGCCAGACCTGAGATTTCACTGGTATGTGAGAAAAGTCCCTCCACCAATGCAGACAGGCACCTGCCCGGCCATTTAGTCTAGGACAGTTGCCCGGGGAAGAACCCGGAGGTGCCTCTCAGCCGGCACCCCTCAGAAGCAGGGCCAAGTACGGTTCTGTCCACTACTCCGCACTGCCCGGGGGGAGGGGAAGGTCATGAACCGCTCAGCTCAATATGACTGTGTGGGGCTAGCCGAGAAGCTCTACAATCCTAAGCTGCAGTGATCCAAGCGGAGGGTAGTGCGGAAGGAAGACAATGGTCCGGCTGTGTTCCCTGCTGGAGTCAGGCCACATCTGTGTGCGGGCGGTTCTGGGCACCACTGATCAGGAGAGGCATTGAGATCCAAGGGCCAGAGGACTAAGGAGCCCAGGAAAGCTCGAGGCCCCCCAGTGATTGGCACAGGGCAGGGCTCCCCGAGGACAAGCAGGGGAGTTGGAGTCTGGCCTCTGGAGGGAAGATTAGGAAATGACAGGGAGCTGATTTTAGTAGGAGCTGAAGCAGGACTGACTCCCAACCCCAGAGAGCTTTCCGATCGTAAATGGGCCGGGCCGCCTGGAAGGAGCGAATGAGGTCCCCAGCCCTGGAAGTTCAGACACGGGCTACGTCTGTCCTGGACACTGAATTTGGTGCGAGGTTGGGTTGGATGTCCCCAGGTCCCTTCCAGCCGAGTTGGGGGTGGGGTGGGGGTGGGGATGTGTCCGTCAGTCCTTTGCCCTCCCATCCTCTCCCATTCTCCAAGGGTCAATGCCACCCCAGAGAGGGGAGCCCGCTGAGCCTCTGCCCGGCTCGGATCCCCCCAGTCTCCGCGCCGTCCCCCGTGTACCTGTAGGACGTGGTGACCGGCAGGGGGGCGGCGTCGGCGGGGGCACGGAGCCTCAGAAAGCGGGGGTCCCCGTCGCTGGCCTCGAGCCCATTGCCCCCCGGAAGCACATAGACGCCTGTGGCCGCCGGGGGCTCCCGGTCTCGCTCCCGGCGGCCCCCCCCAGGGCCGGGGCCGGGTCGGGGCCAGGGCTGTGGGTCCCGGCGCGGGGCGCCGAAGTCCCGCTGGTACTGGGTGAGCGGCGGGCCCGGGGAGCCGGGGGGCCGGGCCGGGGGGGGGCCCGGCGGTGGCGGGGGGTCCTCGATGTCCGAGTAGCTGTGCACGGTCAGCGGCACGGCCACATCCGAGCGGTCCAGCTGGTTCCAGCGGCGAGCCAGGCAGCACACGCGACTGATGCAGGGCCACGCCATGGCCCGGCCCGGGGCGCCCCGCCTGCGCGTCCGTCAGTCCGGCCGCAGGCTGCCCGCCGGCCGGGCGTCCCCTCCGTGCGTCCCGCCGGCAGTGCGTCCTAGTCCCGGACTCTGCCTGCCTCCCTCTCTCCCGGCGCCTGCCTGCAGAGCAGCCCCCGCGCCCCGCCCGCAGCACCCACGGGAGAGCGGGGGAGGGATGGGGAGAGAGGGGGAGGGGATGAAGGGGGAGGGTTGGAGGGGACGGGGGAGGAGGGAGCCGCAGCGCAGATCTGCTCAGGGTTAGGCCAGCTGGTGCCGAGGGAGCGGGTGGGGGCTCCCCCGAGGCTCGGGGGAGGGGCAGGGTCAGCAGGGCTGCGGGAAGACATCCAGCCTCCCTCCCCCCCTTCCCCAGCCTGCTGCCAACTCCCGCCCCTCCAGCAGCCCAATACAGCCTGGGCAGCTCCAGGAGGGTGCATTCAATCAACCTGCATGCGCTTAGGAAGTGCTTACTTACATAAGCGCCAGGCCCCGTGCTAGGTAGGCTCTGGGGATATGAATGAATGAATGAAATGAAGACAACATTCGTCGAGGCTTGCTATGTGCCAAGCATCGTGCTAAGCGCTGGGGGCTACGAAAGTAAGACAGCCCCGAACTCTCTAACTGAAGGAAACAGCACCTGTGGGAGGGCTCCCCGCAGGCAGATGGAGGGGAGGGGGCCTTAGGCCTTAGATGCAGGGGCAGGCGCACGATAACGCATCTTCTCGTAGGTTACTTCCACTGTTAAAACCACATCCAATTCTGATGCTGAGCCATTTGCCACAAATGAAACTCCAGTGTGATTTCATTTGAAGTCTCTGTCTTCCAGGAGGACCTCCGTCCCCACCTCCCCCCACCCCGTCCCCACCTCCCTCCGCCCCCACCTCTCCCCGTCCTCACCTCCCTCCATCCCCAGACAGAATTCCATCTAGGAGAAGACACAGGTTACTTCACCTCTCTGAGCCTCTGTTTCCCCGTCTGTAAAACCAAGGAAGCAGCAGCCTCGAGTCTCTTCCAAAGCCTGTGACCCAGCGCCCCTGCCCCCACAGGCCACCACGTTCCCTTACTGCCAATTCCCTTCTCCCTTTCAGCTAGGTCCCCTCCCCACCTACATCCTCCCTCAAAGCCTGGGGTGCTTCCTCCAGACCTCCTGCAGCCTCCTCCACCTTTGGCTACGGCCTGGCACACGTAGGCACTTACTGTTTAGTAAATTAAATTGGTGCATCGAAAACCTCATCCCTAGGTCTAAAGGTATCTTGCTCCATTTCCCCTGCCCTTCATTTGAGTATAGTGTACCTGCCAGACCTTGTCTGGGTGAACTCCAGACAGTTATTAATAAGCACTTACTGTATGCATACCCTTGTGCCCCCTAGATGGGGGCAGGGCTGCAGGCACCTCCCAGGCTAACCAGTCCACCCCACACCAGACCAAGATGCCCCTCTCCCAGTTTCCCAACTCCCTCGAAGACCACTAGTGAGAGGGGCCAGGGCATCCCACTTCTGGACACCTTCATTATTAAGACATTTGTTTCCCTTTCACTGAGCTTACATCTGGATCTTGGCAGATTGTTCTGTCCCCTGGGGACAATGGGAGCAAGCCTCTATTCCGGGGTCTTCTGCTGTCCAGCTGAAACATCCCCAGTTCACTGCATCTGAGGATTGGAGGCGCTGGGCCTCAGTTTCCTCATCTGCCAAATGGCCTCAGATCCCTCAGGGCTTTAGACCTGAGCCTTAAGATAGAGCATGGTGGGATTATTGCCTCCTGAACAAAAGCCTATCGACTCTTCTGACTCACACTAAGCTTGGAGGCCACTGAAACACCCTGCTCCTTTTCACACAAATTGTAGTCAAGCCACACCTCCCCCACCTTGTACTTGTGAAGCTGGTTTTTAAAAGTGCAAGCATAAACAAGGACTACAACAAAGCAAATGGAAAAAACAAGAACAAAATAGGAAAAGGAAAGCAGCCCCTAAGAATAATTTAGAAAGTGCACCTCTCCCCTTTCTTTGCAGAGGTGGGGGACCATGGGTGTGGAACACAGCATATACTTTCAGAATAGGCTGATGCCAATGGTTGGTTTTGGTGAACTGTTTCCCCCCCCTTTCCTTTTTTTTATTCATTATTCCAGGGGCTGGCTCACTGGGGAGGGCGGAAGGATACATTCAAACATCCACTCATCCATCCATCAATGAGGACTCATTAAGCACCTACTGTGTGCTAGGTGCTAGGGATACAAAAACCAAAAACACAAAACCAATCTCTGCCCTCAGGGAGCTCATGTTCTAATGGGGAGATACTACTTACATATATGAGCATATACCCAGGTGAGGCAGTGCCCCAAGCACTGGACCTCCAATCAGGAAGGTGTGAGTTCAAATGGCGCCTCTCACATTTCCTAGCTATGTGACCCTGCGCAAGTCACCAAACCTCCAGTTTCCTCATCTGTAAAGTGGGGATAATATTGGACCCCTACCTCCCAGCCTGTTTGCCTTGGTTTCCTCACCTCTAAAACGAACTGGAGAAGAAAATGGCAAACCACTCCAATCTCTTTGCCAAGAAAACCGGAAACAGGGTCAAGAAGAGTCACACATGACTAAACAACAAAAAAATTTGAGGAGTGGGAGGGGCTTGAGGAGATCTGTAAAACGTGGTGCCCGGGCTAAGCTTCGAAGGGAACCAGAGAATCTAAGAGGTGGAGGGGAGGAGGGACACCTTCCTGCACCGACATGGGGCACAGCTGGTGCAAAGGCACAGAGGGAGGAGATGACGGGTCCAGTGTGAAGAACGGAAGGATCGTTTGGCTGAGGGATAAGAAGGCTATCAGGGGGGCAGCTAGGTGGCACAGCACATAGAACACTGGCCCTGAAGTCAGGAAGACCCGAGTTCAAATCTGGCCTCAGACGAAACACTTGACACTTACTAGCTGTGTGACCCTGGGCAAGTCAAAAAAAAAAAAAAGGCTGTCAGGGTATGCTGGAGCCAAGTGGTGAAGGTCTTTTTGTGCCAGGGGAGTCTGAATTTGACTCTAAAGGTAACAGAGAAGAGGTGTTTTTTTTTAAATTAAGGTGATATAAAAACAAGATTTCCACCCCCCTCCCAACCCCTCCCCCTCACCCCAGCAATTTCCATTGGTGATACAAGGTATACAGGAGGGAATGGGTGTCCTCTACAGTTATAATAAATATAATAAAACCAAAAATATATAGATAATATCTAAAGATAATAAAATACAATAATTAAAGTTAGCATTTATGAAGTTCTTGAAGATTTGTAGAACACTTCATATCATTTCATTCGGTCCTCATAACAACCCCCAGAGGCAGGTGCTAGTATATAGCAGATAATTTGAGAGGCTGTGTGGTGGAGGGGGAGGGGAGATCTGGGTTCCAGTCTGCCTCAGGCCTGAGCTGTGTGACTCTGGGCAAATCATTTAATCTTTCTGAGCCTCAGCTTCCTCTTCTGTAAAAAGAGGAAGCTGGACTTGGTGACTTTGATGGTCCTTACCAGCTCTAAAACTACGATACCCATTTTACAGATGAGGAAACTAGGGCTGAGAGCTTAAGTGATTATTTGTCTAGGAAAGATTCAGACTCAGTTCTTAGGTCTATCCTTCAGTGCCTAAATTTAGCTGCCAAGGGGGATAAGGTTTGGGAGGTGGAGGTGTCAGAGCTGAGAGGTAAGAAAGGGTAGAGTTGTCCTGGCAAGGGGAAAAGTTGAGCCAGAAAAAGAGAGACAGAGAGAAGGGGCAGGAGAAGAGAGGGAGGGAGGGAAGAAAGGAAAGAAGGAGGGAGAGAAGGAGGGAGAGGGAGAGGAAGAGGAGGAGGGGAAAAGGGAGGGGAGAGAAAGGGAGGGAAAGGAGAGAGGAAGGGAGGCAGAGGGGGGGAGAGGGAAGGAAGGGAAGGAGAAAGAGTGAGGGAGACAGGAGAGGGAGGGAAGGGAAGGAAGGACAGAGGAAGGGAAGGAGAGAGGGAGGGAGGGGGGAAAGGGAGGGAGCGAGCTCTCGACTCACAAGCCATTTCTATGCCTGAAGCGCGCCCACCAGCCACAGCTGAAGCTGGCTCTTTTCGAGGAGAACCTCGACCTCTTCAGAAGCGCTGTCCCAAGGTGGAATGGGCCCCCTCAGTGGAGGTGTGCAAGCAGAGAGTGGATGACCACTCTTCAGACATGTTCTGCGAGGGAGTCCTTTGGGGGCACTGGTTGGACTAAATGGGATGCGCAGGTCTCTTCTGTCTCTCAAGATTCTGTGACTCCACCACGACGCCCCCCCCCCCAACCCCCGAAAAACCAAGCCGTATGGAAAAGAGATTCACGGCTTCCCAAATAATCCTCTTTTTGTTAAAACTTTGTACTTGGAAACGCTCGTTTTCCCCACATTTGTCAAGTTCAAAATAGATCAAACCAAACGCCTGTGGTCCTCGGGCTTTGCCACTCAGCCCGAGTCCACGCACTCGTTGCGGGAGATCCCAAAGCTCTCTTCACATGGCTCAGCCCCCAGCACACGCGGGGCCGGCTGATGTCTTCCTGTTTCATAACGGTGCACACGGACCGCCGGCTCTGCCTTCCCAAAGCACCGAGTCGTTCTTCTTTGTCTCCTGCGGCCAATTAAGGCTCACACCTAGCAGTGCGGCTGTCGGAGTCGGCTCTCTTGTGCCCTCCTAGAATCGCATCTCAGACACTCTCAGCGGCCCAGTTACTGGCAGCACACTGTAAAAAGCCTGTCGTGCATCTCGGCCCACAATCACAAAAGGGTAGTTAGGGATTAAGCTGGTTCGGTGCTTTGCAGAAGCTTAGCCGCCGACCTCTCTACAATGAAAGATCCGACCCGGACACAGAGCGACACAGGGTAGGGGTGACATGGGGCAGAGAGACAGCAGTCGGACAATTGTGCTTTGGATAAGGGCTGTCTGTTGGGGAAATCAGAGGCGGCTTTAAGTAGGTGGCAGGCTGAGCTGGGAAGAAACAAGGGGATTCTGAGGGGCCCAGGGGAGGGAGCCCACGAATGGTGGGTGGCCTGTGCAAACACAGAAGTGGGAGACACCATATGGAGTGTGAAGAGCTGCTTCAGGCCTTGCTCCGATGGAACGCGGATTATATGAAAGCGGGAAAGGTTGGTCAGGGCCAGGTAGTGGCAGGTCTGAAATGCCAGGCTGAGAAGTTAAGTTTCATCCCCATGCAAAGGCTGCCATCGAAAAAGGACTCAAACAGTCATATTTATGCTTTAGGAAGACTTACTGTGTTTTGTTTAAATGAGCTTCCCCCCTACCCCAGTTAAGAAGCATTAACTTCTCTCCCTCCCATGTATCCTGCCCCCCCAGGTAAAAAAAGACAAACCAAACCTTTATAACAAACATGAAG